AATAAAGGATTGAAGCAGATGAGAGAGGAAGTCACGGGGATGCTACAGGGAAGAGCATTCCAGGGCGTGGACTAGCCAGTGCAACGGCCTGGGGTGTCTGAGGAGAGAACAGAGAGGCAGCGAGGTTCAGGGGGGCATGCCTGGGGACAGGGCAGTAGGAGATGAGATCTCAGGGTTGGGGAGGAGACTCGGTGTAATGAGGAAAATAGGGGCCATTTCAGGGTGCGGAGCAAAAAAGTGACATATCTATGCTTTAAACTGATGGCTCTGGGACTTCCCTGGTTGTCCAGTGGTTGAGAATCTGTCTGCTAATGCAGGTGACACGGGTTCGATCCCTGGTCTGGGAAGATTCCACATGCCGCTAAGCCAAGGCACCACAGCTAATGAGCCTGTGTTCTGGAGCCTGGGAGCTGGAACTACTGAGCCTGCAGGCCCTGGAGCCCGTGATCCACAACAGGAGAAGACACCACAGTGAGAAGCCAAAGCACCCAGCTAGAGAGTAGCCCCTCCTCACTTAAACTAGAGAAAGTGCGCATGCAGCAATGAAGACCCAGTGCAGCCAAAAATAAACAAGTAAATACATAAACTGATCACTGTGGCTGCTCAGTTGATGACAGACTATTTGAGGGAAGCAGACAAACTAGTGAAAGGATATTGGGGCTACCCGGGAGAAAAGGTATCAGTGGCTCAGATCAGGGTGGTAGCAAGAGGTGCAAGGCAATGGCATTCTGGGCATCTTTTCAGCTGGAGCCAATGGTGATTTTCTGATGCCCCGGGTGCGGGTAGAGAGAGAAAATGAGATGTGAGCAGAGTCAGGGGTGACTTTGAAGATTTTGGTTGAGGCGAGAGGATGTGGGTGAAGTGGGCTTGGGGTGGGGAAGAGACTTGAAGGTTCAGTTTATTGAAATAATCCAGGTAAGAAGTGTCTAAATAGGGGACAGTGAGAGGCGTGCCTCTGAAAGGTACTTGGAAAACCTGTAGAAGCTGTTAAGGCTTAAATATGAGCAGTGAGGGAAGAGGAGGTTTATAAAATTACACTGCAGTTTCTGGGCAAGGTAACTGGGTAGATAGACATATTATTCATTGGAGTAGAGAAAATAGAAGGAGAAGAAAAAACATGGAAGGACACGGGAGGACTCTCCACTGATGGCAGGCAGAGAGAGCTGGATTCACCTAATGGTATCATCAGGGTTCTTCATATTAAAGAGATTGCTTAAAGCAGGAACACAGATTGTCTTTATTGTCTGCTCAGACACCCAGGGTTGGTACAAGATAGAACACTGGGTGCTGCTCTGTGGATGTTCCGTTGATGGTTCCCCAGCAATGGTCCTTAGAGTATACTAAGCAATTCCCAGAGGAGAGATGGGCATTCTGCAGAACAGGGGTGAGTGGGTATACAGGATGTTCTGAGGGCACTGTAGGTGGGGTGGGGGAGACGGGAAGAGGAAGAGATGAGAGACGGCAAAATAAATCTGGTAGTACTGCATTCTGGGAGTCTGTCTTACTCTTGTTTTCTAGAGGCTCCGAGATGGAGATAATAAGAAAGTGACTAGGGTGAGAAGACACTACCTTTCTGCAACAAAGGTATGTCCAAGTAAGCTGCTGGGGATACTGTGTACCTCAAGCTGCTTTGAACTGTAGCTCTAAGAAGGAGTTTTGGTTACAAGAACACTAGTAGAAAGAGAGTAGCATTGCAGATAATTGTCACACTTGCCATTTGTTGACAAACATTGAGTTTGAATAGATCTCATCATGCCTGGAGGCAAACAAAGGGGTAAGAAGGTCTTTACATAATTACAGAACAAGAGAAGGAATAGCCTCCAGAAGACTAAGAGGAACAATGTAACTAAAAAACAACCCATGACTGGATTTAGAGAAGACATCAAGAAAGCTGTTTGGCATCATCAGTAGAATGATTCCTGTGATATACGGTTGCAGAAAAATAGGCTGAAATACAAAAGCAATGTGAGAAAGGGAAAAGGATGAGATGAGGAAGATCTGTGGGGATACTGAAAATGTAATAGCATAATTAAAATCTTCACTGGAGGCGTAAGAAACAGAAGCAATATTGCCCACAATTAGATCAGTATCATTGAGGATAAACTTCCTAGAATATAGAGGAAAAGGCCAAAGGGAAGGAAAGCAATGAGGGAGAAGACAATAGACATGAAGCGCAAAGAACCCATCCAGCTCATCACTGCTCCTGCAGAAAAGGCCCAACCAGATGAGCAAAACCTCATCACAGGAGGAAGATTTCCTGAGCAGAAAAATCCTATATGTGTAGCCTGCAAGGGTTGACTGCATTCCACTGAATAAACTGCAATCCTTTAGATATATTACGTATATGAATTGAGAAGGTGAAGTGGAGGTCGTCCCTGTGGCTCAGTGGTTAGGAGTCCACCTGAAAATGCAGGGGATACAGGTTTGATCCCTGGTCCAGGAAGATCTCACAGAGAAGCCACTGCAACGAGAAGCCCGTGCATCACAACTAGAGAAAGCTTGTGTGCAGCAACAAAGACCCAGTGCAACCAAAAATAAATACATAAATAAGTACAAATTTTAAAAATAAAAATGTTTAAAGTTAAAAAAATATTTAAGAAAAGAAAGAAAAAGTGGAGAAAAAGGACAAGTCAGGAGGAAGTTCAACAGAGCTATTTTGAAGGCAGAGTTCTAAAAAAAATGACAGTAAATGAAAGGCTCAGAAATCTGCAGAAACATGCCATGCTCAAGAATTAAACTGATTACAACGCTAGTTTAATTGTGCAAATGCATGGAATTCCACCACCTTAATGAGAGGCCAGGTCTGCTGCTGGTAAACAGAGCACCAAGGGGGGCCATAGAGAGACCAGCAATATCTGATGGGCATGAGTAGGGCAGAAGAGGTGCCAGAGTCGTCCCCAGTTCTCCAAAGGTAAATTAACTGAAATGGACTTGTTCCATTCGGAAGAGGAAGTAGAATAATAAAACAAGGACAGGATGACAGAGGCCTTCTTCTGAGGTATAACCATTTAGGACCATAGAGTAAAATGCATGACAAGAGACAGGGTTTGTTCAAGAAATTCGGTTCCAAAGTCTCTTTGATCGATAACATCATAAGATGCAAGAAATGAAACAAAATCGGTCTAACCCTGCAACCATTGCTCCCAGCCATTCAACTCTTTGGATTTTGAAGATGAAGAGACTGTGGGTAGGAGAGGAAAAGAAAGTAGAGGAAAAGGAAGATGTGATAAAGAAAAAAAGGGAATATTTCCAGGGATTTTGGTATCCGTGAGAGGGAACCTCCTAAACTGAAGCTGAGGGTGTGCACTTCCACCAAGAGCAAGCTCAGTCCGGGCTCATGGTGAGGCAGGAAAGACAGGACCAGGCATTTAGGCACAGTCAATATCACCTGGAGAAGACTCTTGAGAGTCCCTTGGGCTGCAAGGAGATCAAATCAGTCAATCCTAAAGGAAATCAACCCTGAATACTCATTGGAAGGACTGATGCTGAAGCTCCAGCACTTTGGCGACGTGATGTGAAGAACCAGCTCATTGGAAAAGACCCTGATGCTGGGAAAGATTGAGGGCAGCAGGAGAAGGAGGTGGCAGAGGATGAGATGGTTGGATGCCATCACTGACTCAATGGACATGACTCTGAGCAAATTCCAGGAGATAGTGAAGGACAGGGAAGCCTGGTGTGCTGCGGTCCATGGGGTTGCAAAGAGTCGGGCACATGCCACCAACTGAACAAAAACGTCACCTCTTTGTTTTGCTTTTAATGAGGCCATGACACTTGCAGGAATGGCATCTAAGACAGAAACCTTATAGCATCTGAGCAAGGAAATCGATTGTGAAAACTGTGGAACAGATGCAAATAAAAATGCAGGCCAGGAGTAAAGAAGCAGGCATGGAGGATGGACTTGTGGACACAGTGCGGGAAGGAGAGTCTGGGATGAACGGAGAGAGCAGCACTGATGTGTATACACTCCCATGCATAAAACAGATCGCTAGTGGGAAGCTGCTGTCTCGCACAGGGGGCTCAGTTCGATGCTCTGTGACAATCTGAGGGCTGGGATTGGGGGGTGGAGTGGGAGGGAAGTTCAAGAAGGAGGAGATATGTGTATACGTATAGCTGATTCACATCATTGTACAGCAGGAACTCACACAACATTGTAAAGCAATTATATTCCAATAAAAACACAGACAGGTTGCTGATGACCCTGTAAGACCTTTTATGTGTGATGCTGGACTAGTATGTAGAGCTGAAGGGAAAGCATCTCTTTGAATAGTGACTTCAGGAGATGAATGGACAGGACCATGGTAGCTGATGCCACCTGGTGCAATCCAGGCCACTCCTCGACCTTCCCCCAGTGACCCTCCACCCCTAATCAGAAAGACCTCACGTAGTCAACGGGCTAAACATAAAATTAAAGGGGATCAACAAACCCTGCGGTGTTCCCCTCACTCTGAGCCTGCCCGAACTCTTCTCTGAGTGTGTGACTTCTGCTTCTGCCCTGAACAAACTGCTTCTTTGTTCTCTTTGCTCCTCGGTGTGTGTACGTGTTTTGCCTTTGCATTCCTTGACCTGATTCTTTTGGATGAGTTGAACAAGAGTTTGGGGCTTCCCAGGTGGGGCTAGTGGTAAAGAACCCACTTGCCAATGCAGGAGACATAAGAGACACAGGTTCGATCCCTGGGTCAAGAAGGTCCCCTGGAGGAGGGCATGGCAACCCACTCTAGTGTTCTTGCCTGGAGAATCCCATGGACAGAGGAGCCTGGCAGGCTACAGTCCACAGGGTTGCAAAGAGTCAGACAGGACTGAAGAGACTTAGCACACAGCACAGAAGAAGAGCTTGGACTTCTGATAAGGCTTTTTGGGCTCCACAGGCACTGTTGTGGGGCCTCTGGAGATCCGTGCTTCGTCTTCAGTGCGTGACTGTGGTCTCCATCCTCTGGGAAGGGGCTGCCCTTCCCTCCCTCCTAGCCCGCCGTGGACAGGAGGACTGGAAGGACGCTGCTTACCTGCGCAGAGGTGCTGTGGAGCTTCAGCAATCCGTTCTCCAGCCGCTCCATCTTGGAGCGGAGCTCCCTGCCGTTCCTGCGCAGCAGGCTCTGGTACAGCCTGATGAACTCCAGGAACGATTTGGGCGTTGTGTAGTTGTAGCGCTGCTCGTTGCTCAGATAGGACTGGGAGGCCAGGTTGACACTTGTGTGGACGAAAGCCATGAACTCGCTAATTGATGGCTTGACTGTGGTCTAGAATCAAATGGTGGGAAATAAAGAGGTCGTCTGGCCATGCCGATGGCAGGTGACTGCCCACTTGGCTCAACAGGCCGGACGGGGGACTCCTCGCTCCCTGAGGCGGAGGGGAGCATGAGGGGTGTCTCCTCTGCCCTCTCACCTCAATGCCTTCCGTGTTCTGCAGGAAGCGGAGGCTGACGGACTCCAGAGCCTGCTTCGGCCACTCGTGGAACCAGTCAATGGCCGTGCAGTTCACGATGGCGGGGAACTTCCTGCTGCGGACCCTCAGCTTGGTCCCCACCGGGGAGAAGCAGAGAGTCACCTGAGAAGGCAGAAAGGTGGGGAGAACCCAGAAGGTACTTAGAGAGAGATTCATACAGCCTTGGAGTCTTTATTTCCCAGGACATTGGGAGGCATATCAACAGAAACAATATCTGTAAACTCTTAGCCAGCCTTTCTAGCCAAGGGATTAGGAACGTTGGGACTCAGCAATCCCCATTCCTGGGCACATAAGCTGAGCAAACCGTAATTGAAAAAGACACATGCACTCCAATATTCACTGAAGCAATATTTATAATAGCCAGGACATGGAAGCAACCTAGACATCCATCAATAGATGAATGGATAAAGAAGATGTGGTACACATATACAATGGGATGTTGCTCAGCCATAAAAAAGGAAATTGAGTCATTTGTAGTGATGTGGATGGACCGACTAGAGTCTGTCATACAGAGTGAAGTAAGTCAGAAAGAGAAAAACAAACATTGTGTATTAAAGTGCATATGTGGAATCTAGAACAATGGCACTGATGAGCCTGTTTGCTGGGCAGGAAGAGAAATACAGACATAGAGAACGGACACGGGGATCCAGCAGGGGAAGGAGGGGAGGGGACGGAATGGGAGAGTAGCGCTGACATACATCCACTACCATGCATAAAATGGACAGCTAGTGGGAAGCTGCTATATAGCACAGGGAGCTCAGCTCTCTGCTCTGTGACGACCCCGAGAGGGCTGGGATGGGGGGTGGAGTGGGAGGGAAGTTCAAGAAGGAGGAGGTGTATGTAAGCATACAGTTGATTCACTTCATTGTACAGCAGGAACTAGTAGAACATTGTAAAGCAATTACACTCCAATTTAAAATTCTTTAGAAAAAAGGAATGCTGGCACTGCAGGAGGCAGGCTACTGCCCTTGAAGCAGCAGGTGAGAAGAGCATCCTCACACAGGTGCTCGGGATCAGAAGGGAACCGCGCCCCCACCCCACCCGGAGCTCCCAAGGTGGCCAACAAGGACGGCTGTGTCCAACATGTCCTCAGAGGCTCCTGGGAGTCACCTCTTTTCCTGTGCACCCCGAGCAGCCACCTCGCACCTTCAGCTGCCGTCGGACTCGCTCTATGAAAAACTTCCAGCAGTTTTCTCTGTTGTCAACCAGACCTTGGCTCTTGACCTCATTTCTCACGTTGCTTATGATGTTTTCGACCTCATCGTCATAGTAGAGATCTGGGATCTCTCCTAGCAAGAGTTGGAGCACAGATGCCTAATTATTATTATTATTTTTTACCAGGTTGGCTAAGTTCTGAAAATTAGATAAACTAGTGTTATTATCGAGGCAGTATAAAATGGACAAATTTTTTTAAAGAATTTTTAAAGAATTTAAAATATTTTTTTAATTTTAAAGAATTAAAAATTTAAAAATTTTAAATTTAAAGAATTAAAAAATTTTTTTTAAATTTTTTAAAGAATTTAATCTGAACTTAATATATAAAGATAAATATATGATGGTCAATTAGAAATGCAATTAGAATTTTCAATTAGGATTTCAGTCAATTAGAAATGTTTATCTTTGAAATGCAAGGATGCTTAAATATTAGAAAAATCTGTGAGAATAATTTACTGCATTAATGGATTAAAGAAGTAAAATAATACGATCATCAAAAAAGTTGTACACAATTTCCAAAAACTTAGTTTGTTAGCAAACTATAAATAAATGAGATTTCTTTTAACCAGATCATAGGTATCCATAGCAGAACCAAAGCAAACATCACATCTGTCTACTAGTGAAATGCTAAAATATTCTCTTTTGAATCAAGAACAAGACAAGGAGGACTTTTCTGGTAGTCCAGTGATTAAGACTCTGTGATTGCAAAACAGGGGGCCCAGGCTTGATCCCTGGCCAGAGAACTAAGATTCCACATGCCATTCAGTGCCAGAAATAAACAAATAAATTCTCACTATAGTCCTATAAAGTAGATAGTTTAAAAAAAGAGAAAACAAGACAAGCATGACTGCTATTCATGTTTTCTAATCAATATTATACAGAGGTCCTAGGTTTTGTCTTCTTGGACTCCAAAATCACTGCAGATGGGGACTGCAGCCATGAAATTAAAAGTCGCTTGTGCCTTGGAAGAAAAGCTATGACAAACCTAGATAGCATATTAAAAAACAGAGACCTTACTTTGCCCACAAAGGTCCGTATAGTCAAGGCTATGGTTTTTCCAGTAGTCATCTCTGAATGTGAGAGTTGGACCATAAAGAAGGCTGAATGCTGAAGGATTGATGCTTTTGAACTGTGGTGTTGGAGAAGACTCTTGAGAGTCCCTTGGACTGGAAGGAGATCCAGCCAGTCCATCCTAAAGGAAATCAATCCTGAATATTCATTGGAAGGACTGATGCTGAAGCTGAAACTCCAATACTTTGGCTACCTGAAGCGAAGAGCCAACTCATTAGAAAAGACCCTGACGCTGGGAAAGATTGAGCGCAAGAGGAGAATGGGGAGATAGAGGATGAGATGGATGGATGGCATCAAGGATTCAAGGGACATGAGTTTGACATGGTGAAGGACAGGAAGCCTGGCATGCTGTAGTCCCTGGGATCACAAAGAGTAAGACACGACTGAGTAACTGAACATCAAAGGCTAAAAGTCAAGGAAAACAAATAAACTGTATACAGATAATTAAGGAAACAATAAAACTATTATCATCAAAATCTAAGTTTCCATATAGAAAATTGTAGAAAATATACACATAACAGAACTCATTAGTGTGTTAAACAAAAGCTTGCTGGATACAAAATCAACATTGGAAATAGACGACACTTCTGTGCTTTAGCATATAAAAAAGTTATTTTAAAAGTTACTTTAGAATACCAACAACAATCATAAGACAGGCAATAATAAATAAATAAGATATGCAAAAATCTTGATGTGAAAACTGTAACATACTACTAAAGGGCATAAATAAACCCCAAAACAACTGTTGTGCTCATGAGTGGATGACTCAGTATTACCAATATCATAAGGATGCAGTTCCAAAATAAATAAATGGGTTTCTTTTACAATCTTGACAATCATATTCTAAAATTTATGTGGAAGAGCAAAGGGTAAAGAGTGGCAAAGATAATTGTGAAAAACAGGATGGAGGGATTTATTTGTTCTATCAGAAATTGTTTCCTTATAAAGCTATGTTAGGGATTCCCTGGTGACTCAGCAGTAAAGACTGCCTGCAACGCAGGAGACTCAGGTTTGACCCCTGGGTTGGGAAGATCCCCTGGAGGAGGGCATGGCAACCCACTCCAGAACTACTCCCTAGAGAGTCCCATGGACAGAGAAGCCTGGCAGGCTGCAGTTCATGGGGTCGTAGAGTCAGACACGACTGAAGCAGCAGCAAAGTAATGTTAGTTAAAAACGTGAAATTGATTCTTGGGTAAATAAATAGAACTGTAAGTGAAACACTTAGAAATGGACCCAGATGTAAACAGGAAATTCATATTCAAAATCAGTATGCTGAAAAGAGATGAGCAGATCAATAAGCATATTAGCATAACTCAATACTAATAACAAAAAATAAAATTAGAATACTGTGCAAAAATACAGGCTGGGTGGATTAAAGACATGAATGTGAAACAGTAGTATTTTAAAGATGAAACACAAAAGATTATTTTTATGGTGTTGGCTAGGATGCGATTTCTGAAACAGTACATAAAGCATGAAACATAAAAAGACTGTCTTGCAACATTTAAAACTAAATCAGCATGACAAAAGTCAGAAGCAGACTTCGAAAAGATATTTACCAACTACATAATGAACAAAGGTATCCAGAAAATACAGAGAACTCCCACAAATCCATGAGAAAAAGAAAGACCCAAAAAGCACAATACATAAAAAGGCAAGGAACAAGATGCATGGCCAATAGACACTTGAAAAGATGCCCAGTGTCACAAGTGAGAAGCGAAAGGACGAAACCGAGATTCCATTTCACGCTCCCTGGCAAAAACTGGTGTGTCAGAAGAACCAACTTTTCGTGAGGTTGGGAAGAAACAGTTATCTGTGTGGAAAGTAAATTTATACAACGACGCTGGAAGGCAACTGGCAATTTTTTTTTTTTTCTCAGCCTCGCCTCAGGGCATGTAGGATCCTAGTTCCCCATTGTTGCTGTTATTTAATTGCTAAATCCCTTCAGACTCTGCAACCCCATGGACTGTAGCCCACCAGGCTCCTTAGTCCATGGGATTTCCCAGGCAAGAATACTGGAGTGGGATTTCCATTTCCTTCTCCAGGGGATCTTCCCAGACCAGGGATCGAACCCGTGTCTTTTAGCGTCTCCTGCATTGGCAGGGGAAAAGGGGATTCTTTAACAAAGAGTCACCAGGGAAGCCCCTCTAAGTGATGGAAATTATGAATATTTACCACCCATGCAGTTGCACTTCCTTGAACTAATGTATCTGGAAGGAACTCATGCCAACTTTTTAACAAATTTCTGGTCTTTAGAGTCTGACAACACTAATCCAGCCAGGAGTTGGGTAGTAGTTTATACTAATTAAGCTTAATTATTTAAATGGGAAAAATGAAAAAAAAAGAATTATCATGAAAATGATCATTTACTTTCTTCCCTTAATTGGACAAATTTGATTTAATTTCCATTCATTAAGATATTTCATAGCATGCATATAAAATACCCAGTGCTATCACTTGTCAAAATCGAGGTCTTATTAGTGGAATAATCCATTTCAGCCTGATTTGATAAAAATATGGGGTGAGAGAAAACTGCTAGAGAAATGAAATGATACTTAGCATGTGTTGGAGTTAAGGGGACTTCCCAAGTTGTGCTAGTAGTAGACAACCCACCTGCCAATGCAGGAGACATTAAGAGACTCAGGTTCGATCCCTGGGCCAGGAAGATCCCCTGGAGGAGGACATGGCAACCCATTTCAGTATTCTTGCCTGGAGAATCCCCTGGACAGAGGAGCCTGGCGGGCTACAGCCCATTGGGTTGCAAAGGACTGGATCAACTGCAGGGACTGAGCACACACACGGGAGTTGCGGAGCTCAGGAAAGTTTGAAAATACTCCAGTGGAATCGATGTGGGCGTACTCCCACTTCTGGGGCTGACTGCCTGCAGTGGTCTGAATTTCTTTCTCCTTTGTCCCTCTGAGAGTCTGCATTTTCTTATCTGTAAATGTGTTATAGTCCTCCAGTGAGAACTTGGATTCCCTGTGGTCTGCATTCTTCACCTTTCTATTATTTAAAAAAGGTAGAATTTATGTCCTTTGGTGTTTTATGGATAATGTGCTGGGCATTTTAAAAAGTTTTTATTTATTTTTGGCTAGGCTGGGTCTTCACTGCAGCGCATGGGCTTTCTGTAGGTGCAGGGAGCAGGGGCTCCTCTCCAGTTTCCGTGCCCGGGGTTTTTCATTGCAGTGGCTCCTCTTGCTGGGGAGCACGGGGCTCTAGGTGCACGGGCTTCAGTAGCTGGGGTGCAAGGGCTTAGCTGCCCCTCAGCACGTGGGATCTTCCCTGAGCGGGGATCAAACCTGTGCCCCTGCATTGCAAGGTGGCTTCTTAGCCACTGAGCCATTAGTGAAGCCCTTCACGTCGGGTGTTGAGGAGGCAAGCTATGATTTATTGGCTAAATCTGACCCTTTGTCTCTGCCCGCAAGCTGGTCATGGGTTTTACAATTTTTAATGGTTGGTAAAATTAAAATAATAATGTTTAATGACATGAAAATTACATGATGTGTGAACTTTACTGTCCGTAAATAAAGTTTTATTGGTCACAGCCATAGTCCTTCGTTTATACATTGTCTCTGGCTATTTTTTCCCACTACAATGACAGAGCCGAGTATTTGCAACAGATGCCGTGTGGTCTGCAAAGCTGAAAATGTTAGCTTTCTGACCCTTTATAGAAAGCGTGTCTCTGTAAGGCTCGCCCAGGTTTATGTGATACCTTTTTTAAAAAAATTTATTTTACTGAAGTATAGTTGATTCACAAGGTTGTGGTAGTTTCTGTTGTATAGCAAAGTGTTCAGTTATACATATATATACTTTCTTTCTCATATTCTCTCAAATTATGGCTTATTTCAGGATATTGAATGTGGTTCTCTGCTCTGTACAGTAGGACCTTGTTGTTTATCGATTCTGTATACGATAGTTTCCATCTGCTAATTCCAAATTCCTAGTCCATCCCTCCCCTTGCCTCCCTCCTTGACAGCCGGTCTGCTCTCTATGTCTGTGAGTC